GAACCCACCACCTCTGGTGTATGGGGCCGGCGCCTACTCCTTTGAGCCACAGGTGCTGCCCATAAATATACATATTTTTTAAGAGACAGAGTCTCACTTTGTCACCCTGAGTAGGGTGCTGTGGCATTTACTGCTCACAGCAACCTCAAACTCTTAGGCTTAGGTGATTCTCTTGCCTCAGCCTCCTAAGTAGCTGGGACCACAGGTACCCACCACAGTGCCCGGTATTTTTTTGTTACAGTTTGGCCGCGGCCAGATTCAAACCTGCCACCCCCTGTATATGGTACCGGCGCCTTACTCACTGAGGCACAGGCACCACCTTGAAGGTACAACAGTCTTTGTTATCTCCTGGGTTTTGTCTTTCTTTTTATTTTTTTTGGTTGCAGTTTGGCCAGGGCCAGGTTTGAACCCGCCACCTTCAGTATATGGGGTCGGCCCTCTACTCACTGAGCCATAGGCGTTGCCCTGTTATCTTTTGGGTTTTGCACAGAATATTCCTCTGTGGCTCAGCTCCTATGGCTCAGCGGCTAGGACGCTAGCCACATACACCAGAGCTGGTGGGTTTTAATACAGCCTGGGCCTGCCAAACAACAATGACAACTATAACCAAAAAATAGCTGGGTGTTGGTGGCAGGCACCTGTAGTCCCAGCTACTTGGGAGGCTGAGGCAAGACAATCTCTTAAGCCTAAGAGTTTGAGGTTGCTGTGAGCTGTGATGCCATAGCACTCTACTGAAGGCAACATAATGAGACTCTGTCTCAAAAAAAAAAAAAAAAATATTCCTCTGTATAGATTCACTTTTCTTCCCTCCTCTCCCTAACTCCAGTTTTGGTCAGGATTTTTTGTTTTGTTTTGTTGGTGGGGACAAGTCTCAACCTAAGTGTTTGTTTCTCCACAAAGTCCTTTCCGTAGATGAGGTGCTCCTGTGCCGTGTTCCCATAATACCCTGAACTTTCCTTGTCAGTACATTTACTGTGCTTTTTAAATTGTTCACCTTTATATCCTTTCCACTCTCCTTTCCTCTTCCAACAAGATTCTGAATTGGGGAGACACCTGTGGCTCAGTGAGTAGGATGCTGGCCCCATATACTGAGGGTGGTGGTTTCAAACCTCGCCCTGGCCAAACTGCAACAAAAAAATAGCTGGGCGTTGTGGCGGGCGCCTGTAGTCACAGCTCCTCGGGAGGCTGAGGCAAGAAAATCACCTAAGCCCAAGAGCTGGAGGTTGCTGTGAGCTGTGACACCATGGCACTCTACCAAGGGCAACAAAGTGAGACACTGTCTCTAAAAAAAAAATTCTGAATTGGTTTGATGGTATCCGTATTGTTCACTGTTGTAGCTCAGTATCTAGCACTGTGCTTCAAATGTAGTAGTTACCCAGTAAATATTTGTTCAGAGGAAAGAAAGGAAGAATGTTTGCTCTTTGTTCTTGTTATTTTTTGAAATTATAAACAATCAACATTTCTATGCTTACATCTTTGCTAATTTTATTTCTGTAAAATAAGGTCCTAGAGGTGAGCATATGGTTTAAGGGTACATGCAATGGGACAGTGGTTAGGACTATGGGATATGGAGTATGACAGGCATGGGTTTAAATCCTGTCAACACCTCTTACCTCCTGTGTGATCTTAAAACAATTGCCTCTAATTTTAATTTGTAAAATTAGAATAGTGATGGCATTCGTTCTTGTAAAGATTAAATGAGATCCTGTATATAAAGCATTTAAGTGAACTGACTCAGCAAGATTGCAATACAGTTTAGCTTTTATTCTTCTCATTGTGATAACACACTTAACAGTTTGAAATATACTGCCAAATTATACTTCAGAAAGGTTGTACCAATTTATACTTTTCTTCCTCTCTCTCTCTTTTTTTTTTGAGGCAGGAATGTAGTAGTGAAATCATAGCTTACTCTAGCCTCCAACTCATGGGCTCCAGTGATCCTCCTCCTACAGCTTCCTAAGTAGCTGGGACTACAGGGACATGCCACTACCACTCCTGGCTAATTTTTTTTTTCTTTGAGTCAGAGTCTCACTCTGGAGTCCTGACTAGAGTGCTTTTGTGTCATAGTTCACATCAACCTCAAGGTCTTGGGCTCAAGTGATACTTTTGCCTCAATTTTTCTATTTTTAGTAGAGATGGTGTTTCGCCTTTGCTCAGGCTGGTCTTAAACTACTGAGCTCAGGCAATCAACTCATGTTAGCCTCCCAGAGTGCTAGAATTACAGGCGTGAGCCACGGTACCCAGCCTAATGTTTTCTTTTTGTAAAGATGGGTTCTTGTTATGTCACCCAGGTTACTCAAAATCCTCACCTCAAATGATCCTCCCACCTCAGCTTTCCCAAGTACTAGGATTACTGGCATGAACCACCACACCCAGACTGTTTTCTCTATCTTTTTTTTTTTTTTTTTTTTGAGACAGAGCCTCAAGCTGTCCCCCTAGGCAGAGTGCCGTGGCATTACAGCTCACAGCAACCTCCAATTCCTGGGCTCAAGCGAGTCTCCTGCCTCCACCTCCCAAATAGCTGGGACCACAGGCGCCCGCCACAACGCCCGGCTATTTTTTGGTTGCAGCCATCATTGTTGTTTGGCGGGTCCGGGCTGGGGATTCGAACCCGCCACTTTAGGTGTACGTGGCTGGCACCTTAGCTGGTTGAGCTATAGGCGCCGAGCCTCTCTATCTTTTTGTTTTTTTTTTTTTTTAATTATTTAAGAGGCAAGCTCTGTCACCCAGGCTGGAATGCCATGGCATAATCACAGCTCACTGTCCTTGAACTCTTGGGCTTTAAGTGATCCTCCTGCCTTAGCCTCCTAAGTGACTAGGATTATAGGTATGCACCACTATGCTCAGGTATTTTTAAATTTTTTTGTAGCCGAGAGTGGTGGCTCAAACCTGTAATCCTAGCACTCTGGGAGGCCGAGGTGGGCAGATAGCTTGAGCTCATGAGTTCAAGACCAGCCTGAGCAAAACTGTGAGACCCCCATCTCTACTTAAATAGAAAAATTGAGGCAGGAGGATCACTTGAGCCCAATAGTTTCAGATTGCTGTGAGCTATGACTCCAAGGCACTCTACCCAGGGCAACAGCTTGAGACTATGTCTCCAAAAATAAATAAATAAATAAATAAATAAATAAAATTTGTTGTAGAGAGAGGGTCTTACTATGTTGCCCAGAGTGGTTTTAAACTCCTAACCTCAAGCAGTGGCCTCCCAATGTGGTGGGATTATAGGTGTGAACCAATTTTTCTGGCCTTCTTCCATCTTTTAATTATTAACAGTTGTCATTCTTTTTCATCTTTGCCTATCTGGCAAGTAAAAAAAGAAATGCTTTGTTTGACAATCTATAAATTGTTAATGAGGTTGAGTATCATTTTATGTATCTCCAGTCCATTCTTTTTTTTCTCTCTCCAGTCCATTTTAATTTTTTTATAAAAATTTTTTTTTATATTTTCTGTGCTGCTTTTGTGCTGTTTGATTATATTAAAAGAGCTTTTATTGGGTAGCACCTGTAGCTCAGTGAGTAGGGCGCCAACCACATAAACTGGGGCTGGTGGGTTTGAGCCCTGCCCGGGCCAGCTAAACAACAAGGACAACTGCAGCAACAAAAAATAGCCAGGCATCGTGCTGGGTGCCTGTATTCCCAGCTACCTGGGAGGCTAAGGCAAGAGAACTGCTTAAGCCCAAGAGTTTGAGGTTGCTGTGAGCTGTGATGCTATAGCACTCTATTCAGGGCAATAGCTTGAGACCGTCTCCAAAAAAAAAGAGCTTTTATTGACTTTTTTTTTTTTTTTTAAAGCTGGCCCAGGCCTGCTGAACAACAGTGACACCTGCAACAATAACAACAACAACAAATAGCATTTTGATAGGTGCCTGTAGTCGCAGCTACTTGGGAGGCTGAGGCAAGAGAATCTCTTAAGCCCAAGAGTTTGAGGTTGTATGGGCTGTAATGCCAAGGTACTCTACTGAGGGCGACATGATAACAATCTGTCTCAAAAAAAAAGCTTTTATAGATTTGTTTTAAAACCATTTTTATCCATTAAGGTTATATTTGCTGAAAATATTTTTCCTAATGGTCTTTTAATTTTACTCACATTTACAAATAAGTAAAATAGTTTTGTATTTAGATTATTTATATTTTTCTTTATGCTTTGTGTCAGTGTGTCATGCTTAAAAATAAAGGAATTTTCACTAAAACATTATAAAAACATTACTTTGAGTTATCTTCTGATACTTATAGAAGTGTTATTCTTGGCTTGGCACCTGTGGCTCGAGTGGCTAAGGCACCAGCCACATCACACCTAAG